TAATAGGTTTGTTCGAGCAGCGGCAAAACCAATCTGCAAATTGGGAGACGCATGCGCAGTATGGTAACGGTGTTCGAGCAGTAAATAAATCCCGAATTCTGACTTTTTCGACTACCAGTCGTGTGTTCGATCAGAATTTAGGATTAGTTGGGTACTGGTTGGGTATAGTTTTTACAATTTGCTGACTTTCGAAAAATTGTTGACGGATTGTGTACTGTCATGCGCAGTGGATACTTTGCGAGTTTGTTGGTAATAAACGTAGCACGTCGAGAGGGCGACACAATCGATTTATATTTGTAAACACAATATCCGCTTTATTAATCTGTAATTGTTGTTAACACGTTCTTAAGTACCTAGTATAAATCAGAGTATAAATAATCATGTCCGATATTTCGTCGTCAAGTGAAGATGTGCCTTTAGTAAATTTTGAGTCAAGTGATGATGACCTAGAAGGTGAATTACTTGATACACCAGTGCGAATAAGGCCAAAAAATGAAGAGTACTTCGAAATAACAGTACAACAGTATAGCGACTCAGAATTTATGGAACATTTTCGTTTTAGTAGAGTAGTTGCTGAAGATCTAGCAAATCGATTTAAAGCCAGCCAGTATTATAATTATCGAGCCGGAGGAAATGGAAAATTAACAGAAAAACAACATATATTAGTATTTCTGTGGTTTGCTGGTCATTAGACGGCTTCTTTCCGAGATGTAGCTGATAGATTTAATATTAGTATAAGTTCCCTACAAACTGTAATCCAGCGAACAGTGTATTTTATAAGCAACCTATCAGACGAAGTAATACAATGGCCATATACAATGTTTAATACAATGTTTTCATATTTTTACTGTTCGAGCTGTGACAAATATCGTACTAGTTCGCAATTAATTGTTACGTGCGCATGCGCATTCATGAATGCACTAATTTGTCACAAACTAATACCTAATTCTCTGCTCGAACAAACCTATTAGTTCTAGTGATAGTGCTGGTGCAAAACTAGAACTAACACTATACCTAGATCTAGAAACATTCGGATTTAGCCGCAAGTCTCTCAAGACGGCTAAACCCGAATGATTGTAGTTTTAGGTCTTGTGTTTGTTCTAGTGATAGTGTCAGTGCAACACTAGCACTAGCCCTAGATCTAGAATTATTCGGGTTTGGTTTTAGTTTTAGTGCTAGTGTTAGTCTAGTTTTAATTGTTATTCAGCATTAGATTATTGTATATTCTTATTGAGCTATAACGAACACTGCCTTCACCGTGTTAATCTATTATATCGAGGTTTTACTATAATGTCAAATTATATTGACATGTTGCATTTTATGTGGGACAAAATAAGTAGGTACGCCATGGAAATATATATTAGTATATTGAATCTTAAGTGAAATTCTCTGTATAGAAAAGAAAATTCTAGTTTATCATTCTGTGAATCTGTCCAGTTGGGTTTAGTTGTGGTGGTGGTGATTTGAAATGCAAAGAGGAGACGCTACCGCCTTAGTCGCGTCGGTGTTATCGTTCGAAATCGCGCACATTCTCCGGCGGCGGTATCGGTATCGGTACCGATGAAATTTGAATCTTCGGCGTTTGACCAATAAAGTGGAACGGCCGGACGTGCGGAGCGGCACTATCGCCGTTGCCGCCGCCGCTGGCAGCGCTCCCTATAAATTACCATTGTCTCCTGGCGCACGTCGCTCTTTTTCCTAACGAAGTGGCGCGCTATCTCGCCGCGAGATCGGTCTCGCAGGTTTAAAGAGATAGTCGCGATTTAAATATGGGATTTTTACGTAATACCGTAAGTAAAACCATATGGAAATCGAGGATTCTTTCTTCTTTTTCGCTTGTACGTAGTATGCATAGTCGTGACGAAATTGCGGCGTGGGATGTGACGCGAGAGATCCGAGATGTGTTATTGTTCGCGCGAAGCCCGTAACTGTATTTTTACCTATCGCCTATTGTCTACCAAATTCGCTTTGTCACACACGTCTCGAGATGAAACGACGTATCCTCGAGATTTAGTGAGCGGAACCGCTCCTAAAACGAACCCGGTTTATTGGTTCCTTAATCGGCGTGGCAGTGCATATTTGTCGCCCACCGTTTCACGGTCGTTCGTCTCTTCGCTTCTTTTACAGTTACGCATCGCATACCTACCATCAAGTTACACCGTCGGAATGTAATTAGTCTTTGAAAATTTATGGCGAATGTATGTAATTTGACAAACCAAATTAACACTAAAACATGTTATTTTAGGAACTTAGTATCGGAAATTATTTCATTTCGAAATTAGTTACTTAATCGAACGAAAAAATTTATTTATATATTTATTATGTTTACGCTAAATTTGAAATTGTTACTCGGGAGGCAAGGAGAAGTTCTTGTGAGTTCGGGAGCTGCGGTAAGGATTATTGCAGCAATAATCCGGTTTAAAATTTATCATATCGTACGGGCAACGTAATAAATTAATCGGTAAAATTAAAAACGACATTATGACCGCAATAATATGCGGTCCTGGTGCCGGGGCCGCGGGGACGCTTCGGCAATATTTTGGCAACGCTCTCGCCGGGTTAATAAGATCCGGTGAGGTTGGCAGCGGTCCCAACCTCACCGCGATATTACACAGTCGCATGCGAATCAACATTAACAATAAATTATAGTATTAAAATACCATTGCGATAATGGTTTCGCGCTGCACCTAATGGGGCCCGCTCCGGTCCGAGGTGTTCATTCATAATTGCCTCGGGACGACCCGGTGTCACCCGTTCTACTTTATGACCGTTACCGGGATAACCTTCCCTCCCTTCTTCCACACTTCATCTTCACTTCTTTTTCCTTATTTCCTCGTTTATTTTTCGCTCGGCGCATTTACGATTCAATTAATCACGGTATCTCCACCCTTTATTTTCACTCCAAACGGATCCTTAATGAATATATTGTAACAAGAAATAAGAATGAATATATCCTTCGTAACGGTTATTCGTGAGCTAATTGAGTTACGTTCCGGACATGTTTGAGAATATTTCTACCGAAACGAAGGCGCGTCAATTATAAAGATAAGAAAACTGTATGACGACGGCGCGGTGTATTTATTGAAAGCGGGACGACATTTAAGGGGGGACCTATTTCTTGACCGCAAGGCGTTACGTTGATGGATCGAGTCCGTAAAGTGAGCGGTCACATCTTAATTTCCCTTCGGCGTGTGTCGCTATCGGACCCCGAACGGTCCGCGATACCGGCTACATGCTTAAGTGCCCCGACTTGTTTAGATAAAGACGATACCGCCTTCATTGCATGACTTTAACCCGCGCAGAGAGGAATCTCAACTTTTCAAAAATATCAAAATAAATAATTATTATTAATCAACTTGAATAACTTGTGAACACTTTATTCCAGTGAAATATATCAACGGTTTTCAGCAACAAAATCCACTTAAAATATTTTCATTTTGTAAACCATAGCGTTTTCTCCAAATCTTGCCGGAATTTAGAAACGAAACATTTTGAGGTTGTAAAGGAACGTTTGAAGTTAATAATATAATACGCTATAATTCGGCAAAACCCGAATGTTTCTAGTTCTAGGCCTAGTTCTATATAGCAATCTAACGCGGAATTCCTATTAAAACTAGAACTAACACTAGTTTGAAGACGCACGGCTAAACCCGAAACTTTCTAGTTCTAGGTCT